CTCTCTTTGTGTGAAAGGGGCCCCCTATTCACTCCACTCTGCTGCCAGCTTGGCACTTAATCACGGGACAACACAGTACATGCACACACACGCACACACGCACGCACACAAAAAGACACACGGGCAAACACCACTCTCTGTTGCCTTTTTATCCAGCCTATGGAGCGACTGAAAAGGGGTCAAAGAAGAATCCAGAGAGAAACAAATCAAATACACCGATACTTTGGTTGAACTTTAAGCTGAAACTATCAACAACAGTGGAGGAATAAAAAATAAACGCCACCTTGCTTCTGCACTAACTATTCAGTAACTCGAGACTTGCACTTGCGCAAATATTCACACACACACACACACACACACACACATTAAGCACCACGGACATGCATAATGAGCGGTGGAAGAGGTGAGACAGCAGCCGTGATGTCCAAATCCTTCCTCAAGAGAGTGCCTGAGGAAAGTGTGTATGGCTTTCTATCATGGTCGGGACAAATGTTTGGATGCAGAGCGCATTGTGAGGACAAGTTGACTTGTCAAGGGACACAAAGTGTTAAAATAAAGTTGAATTGCTGTGCTGTGTGCAAATGTGGCCCCACACAGGCAACAGAAATATAAATGGGGAAAATGTGTACGTTTGCGATTGCTGGTGAGTCATTTAAGGCAAGTATCTTATTAATATGAAAACTCTCATGAGTACACTACTCCGCACGTTGCCATGGAAAACATCACACTGAAACTCCAAAAAGTTCTCTTAGGAAGTTGCAATATTTCTCATTCCTACACCAAAACTCATAAAACACATCTCAGTATGTATGTGAGATCAAGATTATTAATACGTGTTCTGTAATATTCAAACTATCAATGAGCATTTGATTTTGTTTCAATTCAATCAATTCATTGTCACTTGTGAAATAGGATTGTTCACGTAATGACACAATCCCTCTAAACCCATCCATGTCCCACTGAGCAAAATGCCTGTATCAGTTAAGCCATAGCGGAAGTCAACTTCTCATTGATGATGTCATCATTCCTCGATTGAACACTGAGTTCTTTGGAATGCAAAGTTGAGACTGGACCAAGAGTGCAGCTTCTGCTGGTTACAATGAAGGAGCACAATCCAATTAGTCTCTGGTTTTTTTTTTTGTTGTTTTTTTTTTTTTTTTTTTTTTTTAAATATGTGATTAATTAACAATTATGGTGAGTCCCAATTTTGTCTGGGACTCACCATAAGCAACTATAAAGCTTCTCTCCAGAGAAAACATTTCCTCCAAGAGCATCATAGACTTCATTGTGAATATACTAAGCTGCAAAGATTTGCAAAGAACGAAGTCAGGAAATAATTCTATTCTGTCGACATCCATGTGAACTCTGCTCGGAGTGGTGTGGTTTAGAATCCAGTGGCTGCACAAGAGCCACATAATGAAAAACTGTTGCTGGAGCCTAAACTATGTCTGAGTGTGGAGGAGCACAGATGGGGGACTTTTCTGCTTGAAAATAACAGCTTCTCAGCCTGCAAGAACTTCTATCCAGAAATGAATTTTAGCCCAGCCATGACAGCATTGGCACAGGATAATGACTTGGGCTAGAATTTATTTAAGTGAGCGCAGCAGATTTCTACGCTGTTTCAAATAGACGGCGCATGGTGGCGATTCAACTACAATCAATGCAGCCCTGTCAATATTTCAATCTGTCCAATCTGCCGTCGAAACATCAATAGACGACAAATTTGACAGATCATTCTCATTGACACATTCAGGACTGTCGTCACACATTCATCCCTTTCGTCAAAACAAAGCTATGAATGTTACAAAGCCGCCGCTCTTCCTGCCTTGTAATGACTGGCTCGGCTGGTGGGTCAAATAACCTTTGTGTACTTCAGGTGCGCTACTCGGCTAATCAAAACCTCAGTTCGACCAATAAAAGTGGCGGAACCACTGACGCGTGGAGGATTGTTCCTGGCAAACTTTGGCAGCCCTGCCTGCCCAAGTGTCACGTTACAGCGGCGGCAGAGGTAAACAGGAGCTGACACCTGTCACAGATGTTGCAGCTAGCCAGTGAGCTTGCCCACATATCTATCTGAGGCGATCTGTCAAATGCCATCCAGCTGATGCCAGTGAAATAAGCGGTGTCATTCGCGCTGCTTGAAACTGATCGTTCGGTCATGTGGAAATGACAGAAGAAGCAAGGCATTTGTTTTCATTGGACAGCGGAGGCTTGGGGGATTTTTCACCGTGGATTGCTTCACATTTATAATTATTTCCCTGTTTGGCTCCTCTTTAAATGATGCTCTTAGAGTTGTTGGTCCAAGAAAAAAAAAAAGCTTGTGTCTTTCCGATAAATACAGTACTTGGAATACACTTCTGCATTATCAGATGGCCGTTTGAAAATGCCTTGCATCAAACATCTAATATATAGATGACCCCCGACTACAAGTACAGATAAACACACAAATAAATAAAAATAAACAATGGCAAACACAAGGTTGGGGATATCAGGCTCTAGCAAGTCTTGGCATGATAGAAGGGGCTCAAAACACAAGTGGTGTCGTGAATTTTAAGATGTGAATCACACACTAATGCAACGTGTCATGCAGGAGTGATAGCCGTGTGTCTGGATCTATGAAGTGTCATGTCAGGTAGGACTCGGGACATGTGCCTGACAGTTTAAAATGCTAAGACCATGGCCAAAGTAGTTTAATAAATATAAATTCACTTTTATGTCCGACAGCTGTGGCCATTCCACATGAAGCGACTCTCAAAGTATAAAATGCATACAAAAAATAATAATAATAAATGGAATTTTGGGGTTTGAAAGTCATGTATAAATATTACACATCATAAGAATAAGGAATAATACATCAGTTCTCTGGTCAACTTCATTTTCAATCATCATCAGCATTGACAGAATGACCTGATCTACAATTTCCGTGATAGATATTTAAGGATACAAAGTTATTGGATCGATGTATGTGATACAAATGATAATATTTGTGTACAACTGGTGTAAACGGTTGGAGTACATGGTTCCGGGGCTAGAATTGACAAGTGTCTCCGATATTTTAAAATGATAGATTTCAATAATTCACACAATTGTAAAAGTGGTGCACTGGCTCATTGTTATTAGAGGGCTGTTTACCTCAAAACACATTGGAATAAATCCCATCAATCCTTTCAAAGTTACCCAGGATAAACCAATCAAACTCCCACAGCTGGCTGACTGGCCAATCCAAATTAACATTCATACACGCTGGTTACTTTTTCCTATTCACCACCAAATAGCAAATGCAATTGTGGGGTTCATTTAGGTGGTTGCTCTTGATTCAGATAAAAAGCGAATTGCCAATAGACAGAGTGAAAGCAAAAACAGGGGTATTTCATTTTACAGTAATGTAATTCCAAACTGCACATAGGGCCTTCGATTGCTAAATACAGTGCATGATATGTTAAACAAAAAGAGATTTCGAACAGGGAGCAATTTGACGAGATGGCCGAAGGGTGTGAAGACCAATTATGCCGCAAAAGAAATCTGCTTATCACACATGCCGGTGTGTTAGTGTGAAATCATGTGGCGAGGAACTAAATCTGTTTTCATAGTCTCATGAATAAAAGGAAAGGTAAATCTCATATTTCGATTTAACCACAGACTATAGGACAGGACACGGACCGTATCACCTGAGCATCTTTTGCAGTGGACCTAAACATCTCATTTAAAAGAAATAAATAAACAAACGTATCTTGCCTATCTTACATCCACTGGTTTTTAAATAGGGCCACAATATTCAGCTTCCTCTTTCTGTGTTTTGAAAACAACCGCCACTTGCTATCATACTTCCTGTGTTATAACGGATCGCTCATGCATATCTCACCATCAAACTAAACTTCCTGCTTCGTGTTTTATGACAAGCGCTCCCCTGGAATTTAAACAGGTTACAGTACATTGCGACACTGTCACGTTGCAGACACAATGTCATTTGTAAAATCCCAGTTAACATTTGGCAATTGAGATGATTATTTACGGGTAAAATGAAGGCATTTTCGCAACATGCAGTAAAATCATTTCCAACACAGTCTTGCCAAATACAGTATGCTACACGTACCCCTCAACTGTGCAAAAGGTGTAAAGGGCATGAGATCTTCAACCAGCAGTGGCTTCTATCTTACATGAGTGCACGCACATGCCAATACCAAGGCCTCGCCAGCTGGTGAGTTCACCCTTGAATGGCCACCCCCGGGCACTGCTGCGGTATGCATGCAGTTGTTGTAAAGAGTTCTCCATACTGGAGTTGCGCTGCAAAAAGGTCTCAAGTTCAAATCCAAGCTGCGGTCATTCTGTGCAGAGTTTGTCTGTTCTGCTTTGTGCTTGTCTTGTCTTTTTTTTTTTTTTTTTAAATCTGCCTTCCACAGACCAAAAACATGCATTTACTTTGCTGATTGCAGGAATTTGAGTGTGAACAGGTCCTCATAAATGCCTGACCTTAACTCCATCAAAGAAAATAGGATTTGGCATGAACTCGATCAGAGCCAGCTTTTCAATCTGTTCCCTCTGAACATATTATTGAAGAAAAAAATAAATCCACAGTATTCCACAGTTGTGGTAAATCTTCCAAGGAAGAGGCTATATTTGCAAAATGGAGATTGACTCCATCGTTGGAGTTTATGAAGCTAGGCATTGTAGCTATTGTTTATAATAAATGCACTGAAAACAGGATCTGTCAATAGGTAGATTTGCCCTTGACTGACCCGCCTGGGGGTCTTTTTGAACCATCGCCTGCTGTGCAGTAGGGAATCTGGGAGTCTACTCTTAAGGAACAGATGCCAGGGCACAGCAGCTGTTCATCTGGCATCAAACCAAGCCAACTGGATGGGCCCGCAAAGCAAGAACAAAAAACATCAACATGTGTTACTAAAACTTTCCCCGCATGATCGGAGAGTCACACGCACACTGAAATCAACAATTAACATTGAGACGTGAAACATACCATATGTATGATAATTAAAACTCACCTTGGAAAGATTGTCGAGCTCTCTCAACCAGCTCTTGTATGGGATAGCTGGCCAGGTCTCCTCTGGCATGCTTCGTCTTGCAGTAGGTACATGCATTCAGGCACCTGGACAAGTAGGTCGAGACACGATTGGGTTCATTATCAAACAAATAGAAATGCAGCATTTATTGTGCTTAGTTTTGCCTCGATAATATACAGTACAGCATGCGAGGGATGATTAAATGTGTTTGGTACTGTTGAAAGTACAGATCATTCCATATAAATGGCACCAATAAGTTTCAACGTTGGACTTCTGTATAGAGCAAACTTCTATTCTCAAAAAAACAAGACTTTAGTTCACAAATGAAGACGTTATGACAAGTCCACGTCTTTATTTATATTGAAAGTATATGATTAAAAAGTTCGCAAAATCTATAGAAAACTCTACTCAGGTGCGGGACACACCCACATGAAATCAGAAAAATACACCTACGGTGGAGCAGAACTAAGTTTACTGCTGAGCAGTTGATGACAGAAAGAATATAAAACATTCAAGAGGCGAGTGAGGGCAGCAAGAAAAGGGAGCACTGGAGCAAAATTGTAACTGTAGCGTAAAATCTATCTATAGCCCAAGGCACTGCAAAATCTTAAGGTCAGGTTAAATTGAGTTTATTGTTTGAATTTATTGCCACGTTACAATGAAAATTCTGCCCGACAAACGAAGAACCATCGGCTCAGCACTCTTGGAAACCTGGCCCACCAGGCTTAGACGCATTTCCTTCTTGATCAATAAATAGGATTGAAAATGGAGTCAAAATGATGAGCTTGTCAATTCCCATTGCTACAATCAAGTACCCCTGCATATTTCTAAGACAACTGTTTTTAAATTCATCTGATATGTTTGCAGTGGGACAGGACAGCAGAAGTTGACAAAAACACTCAACAAGACGAGCTCCAATGGACCAGAAATGAACAAGTGGAGTGGGGAGCAATTAAAATGTGATTCATAAGCAAGGAAGATCTTAATCTGAATAAAGGGGCTCCTTCTTCGCTTCTTCACAGTTGTCTATGTACAGTACGATTGGGGCAAGTTAGAGGTAAAAAGAAAAAAAAGAAATGATTTTGGAGTTCATCCATTAATGTCTGATATCTGACACTGAGGTTGGATCAGTGAAAGACACATTTTGGTGCAAAAATCGTTGATGTGGTTTGCAATTTGCTACAGCATGTCAAGAATGTTTCATCCAAATGTCTTAAAATACCCAAACCGTGACAAATAATTGACCTCAGCCCAGTTTCTTTAATGAAAGAACCCTCTGTTGGCTCACTGTGTGCCTTTTGTACAAACCATATTGAAAAGCTTTCTGTGTTTCTAAATCGCCGTGTGGAATAAATTGCCTCGACAAAAACGGCTAACCAAAGATTTATAACCAGAAAAGGCTGTGCTTTGCAACAACTAATTTGATGAGGGTATATGTGGGATTATGACAAAACTATTCTGTCTGCTACCCAGAAAAATCAAAACAGCACACATCGCATTGTGGCTTCACATCAACTGACCTTGGACCCAAAGAGATACAAATATCTGGTTCAAATAACAACGCTTGCATGCGGCTGCCAAAGCATGCTACTCTTTTAAACGCGCGCTTCTTTCTGAACTCCTCATCCCAAGTAATCGGGTTCACACCACGCCATTTGAATTTCAGCTTTCTCTAGTGCACAATACGTGCACTTGAGGGGTGGGCTGGAGGTACAAGTTTGATTTGAGTTTTCCGCCCCAATCCCATATAGAGATACTACAGTGTCACATCTGAAGTTGAGCTTCCCTGAGTTCGCACGATTGGAATTCAAGAAACCTCAGCGCACGCCCACTTGTATACCGCCAAGCAATCGAAACTTAGTCACGTCAAAATTACCCACACAGTCCATAAGAATTTTATGAAAGAGATCTTGAAACGGCTATTTCCACTATTTCAAGGTCCTAATCCATCCTGGGGCACGTTGTAGTTGACCTTAGTTGTATTAGTGTCATTTAAAGTTGTCATAGTGTGAATTTCAGAGCCAAAACTGCTACAGATGAATTAAGAGAAAAAACATTTGTCTCACCACTGGTGCTTCCTTTGATCACTAATTTTTAACACTAACCACCATCTCAAAATAAATTAAAACCCTTCTTCCAAAGTTTATTTAAAGCGACCATTTCTAAATTATTGTTTGAAAGAACACTTTAAGAAGCAGTGAGAGATTAACACAACAGTGCTTCGGTAATCCTTCAGAACTACAAACCACAATCATCGAGGCATGTCACCAAAGGCAAGAAATTGAGTCGAAAAGTAGTTGTGTTTTAATCTGTCTATCCCTGCCACTCTATGCGTTGCTTATCCCAGTTGAGGGCACTAAAGATGGCAGCTAGGTCACATAACCTCGATGTGGAGAAAACAGAGACAGATGGGACCCTGCAAACACTCACACACAGACATACACCACAGCCTCCGCCACCACCAGGGGGTCCATCCATCTTAATGTGATCAGGCCCAGCTGAGTGGATCACACCAACATTAATCTCAAGAGACAGTGGTCTACTAGCTTGAGCGCCTGTATATGTGTGTGTGTGTGTGTGTGTGTGTGCGTGCGCGCGTATCAATTCTGCACATGTGACTTTGTCAGCGCGCTGTTGCTGAGCATTTGTCCAATATCACGACAACGCATTAGCAGATTCGACATCCCCATCAGCCCAAACAAAGTGCGACAACGAGTCAGCGCTCGGACAGAAAAAGAGGTTGGAAAAGAGGAGCGGTGTCACAGCATGCCTGGACGAAACGCAAACGCCTGCCATGCATTTGAAGTTTGCTGGCCCCAAGTGGGAACCAGTTTGAATTTTGAAACTTAATCCCTGTCAACATCCGTATGACAGCAAAAAAACAAATGCTTATATGTTGTTTACCCCCTTATCAACGTGATTTCCCCCTTCTGTTTCCTACTGGCTAATTAAACCACAGAGGTAGCTGGAGCACTTGACAACTGTGTAGTTCATCAATGTGCTACAATGAGAGGGGCTTCCTCCCCAGTGTGTCTGGGCCTGGTTTGTGTGCACATGAATAGGTGTGTGTGTGTGTGTGTGTGTGTGTGTGTGTGTGTGTGTGTGTGTGTGTGTGTGTGTGTGCGTGCGTCTTTGTTAAAAGCACTATTGTGTTGAAGTCTCAAAAAAGAAAACCCTGTGGTTTCTCTATACATTTGTAGACCTCCCTTGACATGCGCGCGCGCGCACACACACACACACACACACACACACACACACACACACACACACACACACACACACACACACACGAGCAGTTTCCTTTAGAGGGACTCCCTTGTGCAGCATCTTAAAGACGCAGACTTGGAGACGGTTAAGCAGGAAAAGGTTTTCTCAATGATAAGCACTTAGAGTTTGCACATTAATTAGAAAACTGCTCCATGCATAAACAAATTGGGCCATGTGCGCATGCGTTTTGACGGTGTTTGCACGGTGCCGGCTTGAGAACACAATTACCAAAACAAAGCGTCGACTCCTCGGGTAAACTGGCGAGTTTTTCAATTGTAAAGCAGGGTTATTCAGTGCACTTACTGTTCACGCCGAGATAGGGTGGAGTTGGTGAATGAGCAAACAAAACCTTAAACTGCCATTATATCGGCGAACAAAGCGGAGCTCGACAAGTGCACAGTTAAGTCACCGCAAGGCAAAGTTGGGAGTCAAAGAATATAGAGCAGCATAACTCAACAATGAAGCCAGACAGAGGGACATTTGTAGAGCATTTTTAGACAACGGGAGGCGGTTAAATCATTCTAATGGCAGCAATGTTCAACAATGCTATTACTAATACATTGGACATTTTCACGCGCTTGTTCAAGACCCGAGCAGTTGGTAAGATCTTCAAAACAATGTGGCCCCTGCCGAGTTGTTTTCTCTTTTGCCAATAATTATCTCTGGTCAAGATATCAATGCTGAGACACAGACGCACGAGGTTCCCTCACAGTTCCCATAATAGAATTTCTGTGTTTGCTTTTGTTGAATCTGAATATGCATGCAGCCTGACCCAAACAGCAAAGCTCAAAATTTATTCAATCAAGCCTTTGTGCATGAATTTGGTCACGCTAGCGAGCGAAACTACTGCGTGTGAATTTGACAAAAGGTCACAAGATGACCTTCGAGATCTACGACAGAAGCCTTGCTTGTTGTTTTGGCTCGCAGAGAAAGAGCACGTGCACAGTGCATGGGTGAGAGACCACAACCTCATGTCAACATGGGACGTCTGAGTGTTTTCATAACTTCTTGTTTTGACTGTCGGCAGACCTCGAGACTGTTTTCACTACGTCAATCAGGTCATTGTTGCAAGACAAAAATGGTTTGGAGCATAATTAAATAACCAGTGACTCTGATTAAATATTGAGACTCATTAAAATAGGTTATTTGGTTGAGATTTTACTTGAGATGGGATATTTTACATTCACCACGCTTGATTTAGACAATATGTATCATGAACACAGTAAAAGTGAAAGCCATAAACTCCAAAGACCTTGCAATAGGCTTCGGTTAAATTTCTCTCATGCAATAATACCTCAGCATAATTTGCAAAACTTCAACTTGGTCGATAACTACATATTAACTACAGTCGAACCTCGTCAAAGCGTACCCCAGGGGACATAGCGAAGTTGTACATTATAACAGTAGTTCACTGTAACCATTTCTGATAAAATAGCCGACAACTACGACGTATAATACAGGACGAACATTGATGGGTGTAAAAACATGAACACATACATACAAGCATGTTTTGATTTGTATTTGACTTCAGCTTGGTTTTTGGATGATTCCACGACCAGTGTTGACAAAGAGAAAATATGGTGCCATGGAACCAGAAATGGAATTGATAGTGGCATACCAGGAGTGCGTCTCTGTTCTGACAGAGGCAAAAGACAAGTGTGTTTTGTCTTCATGTGATGAGAAGCGCCTTCCAGGGACCGGCAGTAACATTCCGCACGTTGGCAACCATGTGTGTGTCCATTATTCACCACCACAGTTACGGATAAGTACACTATTCGTATCATTGTGCAGCAAAACTTCTTTTTACACTTGAACGGCC